ATAAGAAAACCGGTAGAAATTCTAGTCACGACAACTTGAGTGGAGTTTAGAGAACTGAATTTCACTTTTTTCCTTTATAAGAAGATTTCGGAAACTACCAGTAGATTAGATATACGAGGCTTGTTTACTCTATTACTTAAAGGTGATGAAGAACTGGTAATTGACTTTTCTCACGATGACATGACAAACCTTACGTTCCCATAACATTTCACACGACTTTGCTTTCCCAAAATGATTCTCATCCAGACTCGAGTGGACTGCAGTTTCGACCTCGCCCGAACTGGTCTTATCTACAGCCACTGCGGTATTCGAGCCTGGGTTGTGGTAGTGCAATGTGTTGTTTAGACACGTTGCCATTTTTCCAAATCACATTATGTGATGTGAATGTTGAAGAAGCAAAGTTATATTTGCTATAACAATCGACTAATTATTTATTTTTCGTTTCTAAGTAGGTTTTCAAGACTAACAGTAAAGCAAATATATGAGATGTATTAACCCTATTTAATTAAAGGTGATGAAGGACTGGTAATTGAATTTTTCTATGATCCGATGAGTAGACCTTACAAGCTAGAGTGAACTCATCTCAGATATTTGATCTACTGGTAGTCTCAAAAACCTGCCTAGAAACGATAAATAAGGAATATAACCGTTTGCTATAGCAAATATAACTTTTCTTCGTCCACAATCCCCCCACAAAATGTTATATGGGAAAATGTCTGACCCGGATTCCACTCCCTTTGGGGGTACTGATGAGATGAGATCGGGCAAGTTAGAAATTACAGCCTGGATGAGAACACTTTTTAAGAAGCAAGGCTCTGTGAAATTCAATGAAGACGTAGGGTCTACTCTTATCACTGTGGAAAAACTCAACTACTAATCCGTTATCACCTCAAACGAAATAGGGGGGACATATCTCACATAATTTCACCTTCCTCGGCAGCCCGAAAAGCCATTCCCATGCAGCCTTGAGTTCAGCCTTGATCCTATCAGCGGCCCGAGATGGTTTGGAACCCTGGAAGTAAAAGATAAGAGGCAAAGACTCTATCTTAGTATTCGTATTAAAGTAGGGTTTCGAGACTACCAGTAAATCAGTGTAATGAGATGTATTCACCCTATTT